GCTTCGTAATCTGGCATAACTCTCTCATCTGACTCCGATTGAGATGATTCAAAATGCTTTGACTCTAAGAAGAGATCTACAACGTTCATGTTTGAGTTTGGAGAGATACTCGTTGCATCAAGGTGGTAATCGGGCTTGAAGTTGACGCCTGCACTGCCAATGTTCTGGAACATTCCGCCTTGTCATGCAAATCATTGGGCAGTTTATTATTGGAAGATTTGAAGACATGTGGCACGCAAGTTACAGCTCAATCACCACTTTCCTATTTTATTTTAGGACTTTATCTTATTTTCAACTAATTAGGATTATATTATTTTAAGGATACTATACTTTGATGTGTGCTACCATTAAAAGTTCTGTCAATGCTCTTAAGATTTCACTTTTATTTAAATAAAGAAGCGTAGTTGATGATCATTTAATTTAAACGTGGTTTTTGCCATAGAAAGAGAAATTATTTGCCGGAAGAAAGAACAAATTATGCTAAAAATGCATGAACATGATTCTTACTGTGTAATTACAGTTTAAAAGACTGCGGAAATATATAACTAAATTACCTTCTTGTAAGACTTAGAGTAAATAGTGTTTCCTTTTATTCTATATCTGGTTTCTAACTCCTTTATCAAGATTTTATTGGTGAAATATTCAGAACTTGATGTATTCTGCCAACAATTTACAATTACTTGGAATCTTAATTACATACCATTGGTATAAATGTCCATGCACGTAACATTTTACCCTAGCTAGGGAAAAAATTCATGTTTGTTTTTATTTTTAAGTGATTAACTAGAAAAAGGAAAAACACAAAAGGATCTGGTTATCGTTGATAATCATTTACATAATGCAGCCTTGCAATGGCATAAGCAAGTTTTATCTTACTTTTAATTTATTTAGTGAGGGAATCAAGTTTTATCTTTATCTTGCAGCCTTGCACTCATCAACGGTCAAATAGCAGTCTAATTAAATGGGGGAGAAACTCAAGCTGTACACAGAGTTGTCTTGTCCTTATAAAAGGTTTTTTTATTAATTTTAGTTTATTATTACGCTTATAAATGAATCTTACAAACCCAATGTGACTGTTGATAATTGGTTTTTGATAAATTTTACCGATTGGTGAATTCATCATAAACCAATTATCAACTTTCATGTTATGTTTGTGAGAGATAGTTTATAAAGATTCTTTTGTCAATCTTTCTTTATTGTAAATTTTAACTAATTGATATTTACCTTAAGAACATACATTAAAGTAATTAAAAAATTAATTTTCTTTATTATTATATTCATGGGCTTTATTTATAATAAGATAAATAAACACATTTTTTAGTACTTTAAACTTTTGATATTGAGCTTATAACATAAGTATGAAAAGGCAAACACCATGTACTGGAGCCCGTTAAACTAGAGCCATTCACTATGTTAGTATATTTCTACTTAAAACATCCACATCAGCTTATGTAAGTCAATGCTGACTAGGATTAGTCAATGACTATATTTGTAGCTTACAAATCATGAATTTGATCAAATATAATAAAAATATTTAATTTTACAAATAATTTGATTTAATTTTTTTTTAATTGTGGGTATCAACTATGTCTGTTGTAATAATGTAACATAATAACATGAATAAAATAGGTTAATAGAAATGAAAACCCCTCTCTATTTGTTTAACTTTTCAAACCCTATCCTATTGGACCTATTTTACTATCCTATCTAATCCAGCGAAATACATATTTGTTTTAATATTGACTATTCAATTTAAAATCTAATCTTATTTTATTCAACTTAAAACATTTAACAATTACTTTTCTCAATAAAAATTTATAAATTAACAAAAACACCCCACCTACCCAACTATTGCAGGCAACCGGCCATCACCACCTGACGGTGGCCGAAAGTCGTCAGAATGGTGCATGACCGGCTAGATCTAGCCATTGACAACCAGACATGACCAGATCTAATTATCAACAGCTAGATTTTTTGCAATAGATCTGGCCAAAAAAGGTCAGATCGGTTCACAACCGACCAGATCTAGCTAGTCATGCACTATTCCGATGACTTTTGACCACCGTCCGACAATGGTGGCTGGCTTCTAGCAATAGTTGGGTGGGTAAGACTCTTTTTGTTAATTTATAAACTTTTGTTGTGGGAGGTGTTTGGTTAAATTCACAAATGTAGGGGGTTAAAAATAATCTAAATATTTTCAAAAAGATATTTTCCAAAAATGTATTAAACACATTTTCAGAATCCTATCTTATTTGATTAAATCATATTCAGAATAGAATACTATTCTAAAAACTTAAACAAACGAAGCCTAATGTTTTAAGGGATATTGGAATTTAAAAATTAGAATAGGGTTATTTTTAGAGAAATCGTTTAAGACAAACGTATAAGTTTTTAATTTTTAGTTAAGAACCAATTTTTTTAGTTTTTTTCATTAAGAGTTCCTAAGTCGTTGAAAGAGAAAACAAACATACCCTTATAGTTGTCAGACAATTCTTGAATTATGGTTTCTTGTACTATAGTTAATTCTCGGACCATATTTGAATTCCAGGTCATAGTCGTTGGGTTGAATACTTTATTTATTAATTAGTAATTCCATGTCTTTTGTTACAAAATTCCGCAACAATCAAAGGTGCCCAGTCAACCTCAGAGGAACTGGGCATGATGTGCGCGTGATTAAGACTAATTAATTAGCTAGGAATGGCGTTTGTGCTGAATAACGAAAGGTGAAGAAGATTTTTAGAGTGGTTAAAAGGGTTAAAACCAAACCTACGTTCACTGTTATGTTATTGTTTTGCATATGAGTATTACACAAGATTATTACAAGAAGAGGCAAGTAATGGTGAGCTAAATGCCCACTAAGAAGGAACTCTTATGCTTAGTTTCCAAACCAACCCCCTAGGAATGGAGGTGGTGGCTTCCTTTTATACACTTGTTTTGACAATGGTTGGGAGTTGGTATATTACGGGTTGGATTACATGCATAATCCCCTATAATCTAGATCTGAGTCAGTCTTTGCCCATACTTAAGTCAGAGTGATCATGCTTAGGACTGATAAGCTTATTGACTAAGTCATCTGTTGTAGGAGTGACACGTGGAGTGATCCTATTCGCCCTATCTTGGCATAGTTTGTAGAGGGCTTGCATGAATCTGACTGTAGGAAAATCATGCACAACAATGTCATATATAGACTAACAATTGTATAACTTTCTGTATTTTTGTTCGGGTGTTATTTATCATTGATTTTTGTACCTCAAATGGGAAGGAGGCCTCTTCGGTTACAACTACCATTTGTCTTGTCAAATAACTTTTACTTATTATTGGAGGCTATACAACTTATTAAGAATAACTTTTACTAATTATTGGAGGCTAGGCTCTCTTCTGGAACTTTTCTTTTGATTTTCATTTTCCGAGTTTTGGATTATGGCCATGAGTGGCTGATTTTTGTAACTTGCTCGAAGGAAACGGAAACCTCGGAATCAATAAAACTGTGAGATCTTTCTGTTTTTAGTGTTAAATTTATGTTTTGAGTATTGGATATTCTTCTATGCATATTTTCATGATTGTTGCGTTTAATTACTAGAAGGCCTACTAGTTTATTAATTGTTGCAATCTTCTACTAAGTTAGATATCAAATCCGTAATTGTTTGATTCTTCTAACTTGTGAAGCAATTAGGGTTAATAATTTGCTGCGTCAGGAATTAGTAATCTTAAGAAGAACACCCAACTAAATTAAATACAATCGCTTGAGTTTGTGTTGTTTAGCTTCATCGATCTCTCTAATTCTTAAGGCTGCCACTAGCTTAAATCTTGAGCGCTTGTCTAGGGTTGTTTAGTGGTAAGATTAATTAAGATCGCTTGTTTCCTAATTAATTACAATTAAGGAGAGATAGGAAAATAATTCCAACGGTGAATATTCAGGGTTTGAATAGATTCATTTTTGTATCAATGATCAGTTATAAGATTGTGATGATGGATGTTGACTTAGACCAAGTTTTGTTATTTTGATTGGTTTCGATTATTTGACTTGTTTTTTTTTTTTCTTTTCCTGAAAATGTTTCGGTTTTACACAAATCCCCCTCAGCCTTGTTCACATAACATTAAATTCGGCTAGACACTCTCTGTGGGAATGACCCTGACTTACACTACTACGTGTATTTTTAGGTTTTAATTCTGGGTGCCTACGACAACACACCAGCTGGCCACTTAGGGTAGACTTCATACCATGGATTGCCTTCAGTCCCACGACCTCATTGGTTCTACTGACTATGTTCTTTGTGGCTCTATAATCGAGACTCATGAGCATTTAATCTTCAGTTGTGCTTTCTCAGCGTCGATTTGGGGAGAGGTTTCTTCCAAAACCCTTCTAGCCTAGCCTATTTTCTCTTGGAAAAATTTACTCTAGTGGATGACTCAACATCATAGATGTAAGGATGACTTTAGACATCTCCTTGCATAGTTAGTCCTCGCTGCCACAGTTTACTTCATTTGGTGTGAAAGGAATAACCATGTGTTGAACCATGAGAGCAAAACCTCATGTGTGATCACTGATGAGACCCTTTCCATAGTTCGAAAGCAAGCCTCTGCCCTAGCCTCCAAGTATGCCATCTATCCTAAGCTTAGAGCCATTTGGAGCCTCCCTGACTAATTGGTCTTATTTTTTCTGCACCTATGCCCATTTCTCTTTTCTGTTTGGTTTGAGCCTATGAGCCCAGTTAAGGCGCCTGAGCCCATCTCCCTCTTTTGTTTGGAGCCTATGTGCTCACTTTTGGATAGTTGTTCCCATCATTTTGTCCAAAAAGATGGGCACATCTGTAATGGTCTTCGCTAGACCTCTTTTGAGAGTATGCCCTTTCTCTATATAGTTTCTCTTCTTTTATAAAATTTATCTTTTTCAAAAAAAAAAAAAGAAAAAGTGAAATCTTTCGAGATATTGCTCTAAAGTGACATAAGATTAATAGAACTTATAATAATGCCACACAACAAACTACATTTCCACATGTCCAACAAGAAATTTTAAAGACAAATAGTACTTCACACAGAGTAATTCATTTATTTCTGCCTCCACTACTAAAACCTTTCAAACAAGTTAAGCTGATGAATGTTTTATATTTTATAACTGACAAATCATAAATCAATTAATCAAAATATCTGACCAATATATTTATTGTCCTTCTGAAATCATCTAAGGTTTAATTTGTTTGCTGCTGATTGTGCTTAGTAAATATTTTCTTCAAGTCATAAGCCATGAGAACAAAGGCTTCCACATTCGTAATTGCCTGAACAGTTCTTGGTGAGATTGGGAGGCTGGATAAGTAGGCTTCAGCCTGATTATTAAACGAGGTGACAAGTTCTTTCCCAAAGAATCCACCATCTTTCAAATAACCAATGCCTCTGGAGTTGTGTGTCCGTATTTCTCCGTGCAGCACGAAGAGCATCTCGGTAATCGGGTCTCCTTCCCGGAAAATCAGAGTGCGGTCAAGATAGAAAACTAGCTTGACATGATAACACAGATCCTTCAACGCTAGTTCCCCCAAGTTTCGAAACTCTTCTACCTTGATCTACATTCAAGAATAAGGAAGAGAATACATCCATTATCCAACCAAAGCTGGAAGATTTAAAATCAATATTTAAAAGTCAACAGAAACAAAGGTACTCACATTCCTCAACTGCGGTAAGCAAAGTTCGATCTTTATGTCTCTGAGGAGATCCTCAGGAAGAATATTGAACAAAGTTTCTATGTGAAGAATTTTGGTTGCTCGCCATTTGTTTAGCTGCAAATTGTTTATCACCTCCATTTGCAATTCTTGACGGAGCTTCCGGAAGGACACGCACTGCTCCGCCGTTTGCTCCTTCAATATTAAAGTCGACTGCTCCGGTTCTTGTACCTGAAACAACGTCATCTCCTCATGTATAGGCAATAGAACCGACATCTCTTTTTCTTTTTTCTCTGACTCCGTCTGCTTATCTTCGGGTGCCAGATATGTCTGTTTTGCCGGAAGCGACATTAGTAGAAATTAAATTTAATGAGCTTCAATCTTAAGCATGTTCAGATAAATAGAACATGTACCAACCTGCATATTTCCGATTAAAAAGACAAACAGCACCGTGGAATAGATGATTATAGAAACCACAAAAATATTTTCCGTGATAAATGTACTTGGTAACAGGCTTTGGCCGAAACAACTGCAAACAAAGATTGTATTCCATATAACAATTAAGCTCAAAATTTGCAATCTCTATTCTCTTTTAAGGAACTCAAAAATAATTAATATTCGAATCAAATCACATTGCCAGAAAAACCACAAACACAATATGCACAAAAAAATAAATGAATAAATAAAAGACAATGACTTGAATGATGAATCTTTTCTTAAATTATTAGTATAAATTTTTTTTGCTAACTTACATTATTTTATGAAGGTATTTTAGGAATCATACATTTATAAATCAGCTCATACTTTCAAAAGCTAATCCAAAGGATACTTTCAAAATATCCTTTTACAAAATAGATTATTAAAAAATCGAATTAAAAGTTAATAGCTTCTAAACTGTACTTATTAAAAAATATTTAAGATGTTAATTTAGAAAAGTAAGTAATTATATTTTCATATGTACAAACCTGAGAGCTTGCAGGCCCCATCTTAAACAGTATAAAAACTTCTTCAGAAATTGGCGTTTGAAATGCACAATACCAGACTTAAGAGCATCCTCGAATATTCCAAACCCTGCGATCTCGCTAGCAATTTTTGTTAATCTAGGACAGTTTAACTCTCCTATATTCTTATGGTTTTTACGACAGACGAAAGAACGAGGATTAAATTTATTCCTTGCAAAATAGTCTTCCCTCCAACACACCAAAATTCTATCGACAGCAAAAGTGTACCATAACGCTCCAAATACCTATACTCAGGACCATATTAGAAAGGTATAAACAATTTTCCACTGTTTTAACTTTTAAGATACTATACATACCAAACATACTTTCCAAATTTTTAAATTTGAATACAATTTTTAAACAGAATATCAAAAGCATTTTTTTAGATTGTTTTAGAACCAATGATCAAACAGACCGAATACATACGATGAGTTTTAAATTGAATACCAATGTAGTGTTTATGTGTTGAATTTTGTAGATAAATCGTGACATCTGCGGTGCTCAAGTAAATTAACAAAATGATGTGGTGACTGAATTGACTTACGTGACCTCCAAGCAGGTAAAGAAAAAGATTGTGTATAGCATTGACCACTTAGCATGGGCAAGATAGCTAGTACCCTCAGTAGCATATTTAATAGTTAATGACAGTCCAATAACCAGTAGAATATATCCGAAAAGAAACAAGTTAGCTATCGTCAAAAAGATCTTGTCTGTCGTTCCCGTTGTCAAATCAAGAATAACTGTCTGCAAAAACCACAGCATGTTTAAACTTTAACAACTCCAATTATGATGACATTATAAAACAAAATTAGCTGTCGAAGAATTGATGACCTTACCAATGTCATGAACAATATTGGTATTTGAGTAAAGATAAAATGTCCGATCACGGTTTTAGAATTACGAGGTGCAATGACTCTTTTAAAAAAATAGGGAGTATAGAGCATCATATAAGCATTAAAGAAGAGGACAGGAGCAACCGTGGCATATAATTCATTGTCGATTTCGAGACAATTTTGATCTTGTTTGATCACATAAGCGTAGTAATGCAAAGGATGTATTACGATAACAATTATATAAGCCGCAATATATAGGCCGCTTCCCCAAGTAGAACCTATTTCTAATTTCTTACTCATCCATTTTAGAGTTTTTTTCAAGGGTGGGGGTAGCCTGTCATAACAAGCTCGTAATTTATACGAAATGCTCCCTCTGTTTGGATCACCCCTATCTCTGGATCAGAAGCCTGAGGCTGAGATTGGTGTGACCTGAACGACACATAAATACGTAGTTCAAAACAATTCAAACGTTCCAGCCGCAAACAAGCACTTAATGCTGTAAACCTAAACTAGAAAAATTTCAAAGACAATATAAAGATTACACTCAACAATCACTTACATGATGAATAACGCAAAGTCTTTGAATTTCAATAATTGCGAAATTGTTCTTCAAATAATGGACCACTCAGTAAGTATATAAAGATTGATTGGAGGATGCTGAGTCAATATGCATATAAAGCCTAGAGGGAAGCATAAATTAAAGTCGAAAACTGCCTTTATCTTTTCACTACACTATATGCAATTAATTAGATGCTAAATTAGTTGCTTTATTTGTTATTTGAGCTAGAAGTAACGGAAATTTTAGGAAGAAGTATAGTATAAAGGAAAAGTAAAGACATGTATGTTTAGCCGAAGTCACTGTATAATAAAGGATACAACTGAGCACATGAGAACTTCCTCAATTTGATAAACTAACGTTTTTTGTAGGACCTCTTTTCGGAAGATTGTAGGAATTTATTGTTTATTGCATGAATGGGGCAAAAGGATTAACCAAACTGTTTGTTTCTTTCTCTTATTACTTTTCAATTTTTATTACTATTGTAATAGTAAAGCAAGAATAAAGTGATTATATAATAATTGCTTCGATTCTAGATTCTTACAGCAAAAAGAACTTGTTAGACGGGCCATATTTAAAACAAAAAGTAAAAAACGTGATATCTCAAATCATTTTTCCTTGTTATCTAAGCAAATGGAAATGTTCGAAAACATGTGGGATTTAATATGTTATGAAAGTAATAATAATATATATTGTGGTGAAGAATGAAGTTAGGAAATATAGCCTCTATGAATTGCTAACTATTCATCTCTTTGAGATACGTTCATCAATTAATTAGTAACTAGACGGCGTATAAATTTTATTTTTAAGGGATAATTATATATCAGTTCTGGTACAAAACAAGTGATTATGATGTGTCTTTATGTGATTCTCCGTATCCATCAATCATCTTTATTTGTGTTATATTATAAGTTACAAAAGCGGAAGAATATTTAGGTTGGAGAGATGTTGTGTTATCACACCTTAATTTACTAATAAAGCAAAAGTTAAAAAAAAAAAAAAAAAAAAGGTTATGTCTGCACACCAGCTGGCTTTAAAGCATCAAAATCTTATTGTTTTTATAAGAATCTAGGCAGAAAGAGAGGCAAGATAATTGCCGAAGTATGCCAAAGAGAAAAGAGTAAAGAAATACTTTCAATTGTATTCTGTCTATTGAATTGTGCCGTACTTTTTACGAGTGATGAATTTATACAAAAACTAAAGAGTTGACAAAGGAAATACAATTCAAAGGAAAGCAATTACATGAATTCAGCATCAATCCATTACTTGAAATCAGCCTTGATCAATGATGCTAAATATCTCCAATTAGCCATAAACCTGACGTGATTCCAGCATGCATTCTATATTCCATATTCCATCACTCTCCTCTCAAGCTGGTGGTTTGTAGATGTCAAAAACTTTAAGCTTGTGAAGTAAATATGAATGCTAATGACTGCATAATGGTTTTATAAAGATGTTTGTTGGTTGTTCCGTAGTCCAAATATGCATGGTTTTGATGATCTCTTCCTAAATTTTTTCTCTAACAAAATGATAGATGATCTAGCAAATCTCTCTTTAGTTCTTTTGAGATTGTCTTCGTGTGGACTATGTGGATTCGATCTTACACTTGGATCAGTAGCAAAACGTTCAAGGACAATCGTGGTGGAGCCTCCAAACGTGTGTATGGTTTCTAAACACAGATTATTAATTTTTGCAGATTCTTGCTTTAATATGAATTGTAAAATTATACACTTGATCTTGTTTCATGTAAACGATCCTTGTATTATATTTTTTTGTTTCCGCTGCGTATACGAGACTGTTTACTAACACATGTATCCAAATTCCAAACCTAAAACTTCATCTTTTTTCATTTAATGTTTTTCCACACTTGTACCTTATAATTTAACACAATAAAAGATCTTTGCTGGATATGGAAAGACTTATCATGATTCACGTGTTTTGTTCCAGAAATAATATATTAATTCTCCTTCTGCCTCGATAACAAGGAAGAATAATTGGCTTTAACATTACCTTCTTTTTTGCAGTTGAATACTAGAATGTAGAATCTCACTACTATCCAATTATTATATCATCGCTTTATTATCCCGTTAACTCGCCACCAAGCCACCACCAAAATTTTCCATCTTACTTTCCATAATTGCTGCACTTAAATATGAATTTGCTTATAGAACAATCAACTAATTTACTAGACATGAAATTTAAAATCCCATTCACCTAACTTGATTGCAGCACTATTTTTCAGAAAAATTTGCAGATCGAAATCCAAAGACTTTCACCTTCTTCATCATGTAAGTGATTCTACATTATAAGTTTTAGCAAGTCGGTGAAAGTCATCAGTTTAGCTGTTTTTAAACTGTGGACACCTTATATTTGTCAAACTTATGAGTTGTGTATGTGCACGTAAGTTTTGCGTGCACACTGGTTGCCAGACTTAAGTCTTGGCTTGTTTCGTTTAGAGTGTGTATGCACAATAGTTTGTGCTTTCACTCTCACTTCAAATATTTGCAACCCAACATGAGTTGCATGTTTGATAAAGTGAAAAAGATATTGTTTATCTTTGTCTCTCACTTTTTAGGATCTTTTTACATATGTCATAACATCCTTAAGTGGTCCTAGGGAATAAAGTTCTTTTCCCGATTTGTTTTGTGGTCCAAACCAAAAGAAGGAATACTTTTCTTATTTGGACAAACATGCATCAGTCTTGTTGGCTGACTTGGCACTATATTGTTGAGCAAGAAACCTTTCATTATATAATACCCTTTCTTGCATGTATGAATCTAACCTTTTGGATATTTTGTTTTATTGTACTATGAATTTCTTAGAGTATTTTCTTTCTCTTAAGGTTCAAGGTTCATTTCCATATTTGTGCCAAAACTTCACCATATCAAACACTGTCTTGATGGCTCTTGGAACGTGGTTCCTTAGCTGATGTTGGTGCGTGAAGCTTGGTGGTTCACAGGCTACTCATGGGTATGTTCCTTGCATGAAGAAGGTCCAAGGAGTTGCTACACGTTAAGGATTCAGAGTGTGGTGCTAAGTGTAAAGTTGAACAGGGAGTTCTTTTTACTGTAACTTAGATCAACTTTGAACTATATCTTGTAATGTGTTTTTAACTTAATGGATTGCTTCGATCTGGACAAGGTCCCTTAGATGTAGGCTAAAAGTGGATTTAGCCGAACCATATATATGATTGTGTTATTTATTTTCTGAACTTGTGTTTGATGTGTTTAAATTGGAAATGTTTAATCTACTTGGTAATAATTCCGCTGCATTTAAAATGGGTAACCACACTCTAACGTGAGTTAAATCTATAACTCTCTCCCTAACATAAACTACTACTTTGTTTGTGTAGGTCGGCGGCTTAGCTTCAGGCCTTTAATGTAGAGGAAGATAGGAAAGAAGATGGAAATCTAGCTGAAGGTCATGATCCTAAACGCTTGAGTTTGAAAGTGGTAATTAAAAAATTTGACCTGGGTTCTTATGACGACCCCTTCCGGATCATGGGCTATCCCAATCTTGGCCCCTCTCCGTGACCTCATGGGCTTTCCCAATCTTTCCCTCTGGGCCGTCACTCACTGGATCTCCTCGGCCCTGGACACCGAGTTTCTTTCGCCTCCCCCACCACTCGAACCCATGCCCTCCAAGCTAAAGGCAAATGGGAAGCATGGTGAGTACCATTGGGCTAGCGCCTTTTTATTGTGACGACCCCTTCCGGATCATGGGCTATCCCAATCTTGGCCCCTCTCCGTGACCTCATGGGCTTTCCCAATCTTTCCCTCTGGGTCGTCACTCACTGGATCTCCTCGGCCCTGGACACCGAGTTTCTTTCGCCTCCCCCACCACTCGAACCCAAGCCTAGCCCAATGGTACTCACCATGCTTCCCATTTGCCTTTAGCCTGGAGGGCATGGGTTCGAGTGGTGGGGGAGGCGAAAGAAACTCGGTGTCCAAGGCCAAGGAGATCCAGTGAGTGACGGCCCAGAGGGAAAGATTGGGAAAGCCCATGAGGTCACGGAGAGGGGCCAAGATTGGGATAGCCCATGATCCGAAAGGGGTCGTCACAATCGTTGGAGATACGGGACTTTCCTTACTGCTTATTTGATTGTCATCTTCATGCATCCTTTGCATTACTATGCTTATGTGATCAATCCCTAACAAAATTTCCTTGAAATCGACAATGTATTATACGCCACGTTTGATGCTGGGACGTTGTGAGAAACCCCAATCTTGGAGAGGTTGGAAACCTCACTATGGATCCCAATTATGGTGAGGTTAAAATGAACCCCATTATGGCGAGGATAGCCAAAAGGCCACCTTGGTTGGCTAGGCCAAGAATAACTAAAACCTCAAATAGGAAGAGAAAGCAACTTTAACTCAAAATATATTTAATGATATTCAGGGATGATTACAAAGGACAAAGTAAGGCTTCATTTATAGCCTTCCAAGTGAAAAGTTAAAGCATATCTCTCCCATTTGGGACAAAATAAAAGTCAACATAAACATAATTAATTTTTTTCTTTTTCTTTTTATGCTTCCGCACAAACTGAACAGGATATTGAGATTACTGTATCTGCATGTCTACCCTTACTTTCTATCAATAGAAATTTACATAAACAAACAAAAGGCATCAGCTCAAAATGGGAACCGCTCTTGCACATCCGAAATGGGTTATTTTGCTAAACCCTTAGCTGCTGGCTAAAAGTTTGCTGCTACATCAAGGTTGGAAGAGACTTGCCGTCGAATTCCACGTCTTTATCATGTTCTCATAGTAAGGAGATAGATCATCAACGTTGAAAGTAGCAGAAACTCCATAGTCTCCAGGAAGCTCAATCTTATAAGCATTATCATTGATGCGTTTCAAAATTCAGAATGGTCCATCAGCTCAAGGAGACAACTTCGTACCTGATTTAGGGAAACGTGCCTTCCTTAGATGAATCCACGCTAAGTCTCCTCCCTTGAATTTAGCCGACCTTTTGTGTTTGTTGGCTTGTTGTTGATACTTAGCATTCTGACGAAGAATCTTCTCTCGAACGTCTATATGAAGCTTCTTGATCTGTTTGGCACGCTTATGAATATTT